ACCAATCCCACTCATGAGGGCTCCATTCTTGTGACCTAATCACCTCCTAAAGGGTGCATCTCCTAATACCATCATCTTGGGGGTTAGGATTTCAGTGCAGGAAGGGGGGTGTACCGCAGACATTCATATCATAGACCACACCAACTGCAGTTTTTGATTTAGAGCCCAGAGAAGCTCACTCTAAACACATACCCTCAGGCACTCACCTGTAATGAGATGGACACTGAGATGTTTACAAATGGATTTATTTTGCAGTTCAACAATAAATTCCAAAAAGTTGTAAAGGCTTTCTTTCCAGAAAAACAGCGGAGGCCTAAGAGATAGCTCCCCTTTCCTCAGCCAGCAGCTGGGCAGGCTGAGCCTAGGCTTTCATCTCTGAAGGTGGATCACGGACATGATGGGGTTTTACCAACAAAGAGCACTGAGCTGGGAGCCAGGAAGAATTTAGTTCTAATTTTAGTTCTGTTCCCAATGAGTCATTTCATTATTGCTCAGCAACTTACACAACAGAGCCTCAATTTCCTCTTTTATAAAGGAAAACAGTGTGGTGGTAGGAAGGAAACAAACTGTGTATAAATATGAAGACTCTGAGTAATAATGGAGATAAGGGTTGGATTTGCCCAATACCACAGATGAGGAAAAAGTTCTGAGAGGAAATAACTTGGCTGAAGTGCCACATTCTAGAACAGACAGAAGCAGAATTCCTAGTATAAGAACTGCACCCAGGGATGGGCTTTCCCCATGCTACCATGTTCCATTGGAGTTCAAGAATTCTAGATTTGTAGTTAATTTGCCTGAACAGTGTGAAGATATTTTGTCAAGGTAAATAGAAAAAAAAAAAAGAATTAACAGTTTGCATGAAAGACGTATAATTTTAAAATATATGTAAGAATTTGGGTCCTGAGCCCCTCAGGTATTAGGAATAGCTTTGGACGATAAAATGCATTTTTGTTGTAAGGAATTACATTTCTAAATATAGGTACATAACACCTATATAAACCTTATACCTCTGAAGGTTTGTAATGTCTACAAAGCTCTTTCTCACATATGTTCTCACTTGGTCCTCCTAGCTACACATTGTAAGGCTGAAAGAAGTTAGTGTCTGTGTTTTGTAGATAGTGAGTGCTGTGATTGATGCCCCTGGGGCCCATCTCACTCTCCTTGTCCCACTTCTGATTGCAGCAGCAGTTGAGATGTGGACAGTTTTGAGAGAACTCAGATTTGCCTCCTAGAGCCTGCATCTCCCTAAGTGCACGGGATGTTCATGTCACTCCTCCTGGGACCCCAAGTCTCCCTCCCTTATCCACACACAAGTACAGTCTGGAAGTGTAACCCTCAGACAACAGAGGAGGAAAGAAGCCAGTGGGCAAATGTCTCTATCTTCTTATGGGCAAAATCTGAGAGGAATTCTGTAGGCTTCAGAGAGCTACCATGGCCCCCGTGATACTTATAATAGTGATCTCAGTAACACGCCTTATCTGGCCTCTCTGTCTCATTGTCTTCACTCTCTGTTCCTACTTCCAAATAAACTACTTGCATCCAAATCCTTGTCCCTTGTCTTTGCTGGGACCTCAAACTAGGAGAGACATTAAGGCCAAAGACAGCAAGTAACTTACTCAGGGCCCCAGGTCGGAAGAGCAGAGGAAGCAGCACTGTCCCCCAGTCCTCCTGGCTCTCAACCATGACTCTCACCTCCTACTTTCAGTTGTGCATGCAAGGTTAGGAAACTCCCAGTTCTACCTTTTATCAATATATCAGACCAACAGCAAGTTTTAAAAATGCATGCTTGCGTGCAAAATCCATAGTAAGTGAGAACTATCATCTCTTCTAGGGTTACACAGATGATCTGCTAGTTTATGATTAAAAAAAACAAAGAAAGCTTTGTATTTTTCAAAATTTTAAAGTATTACATTTTGCTTTGTTGGAGTGGTCTGAATTACTTATGGAAGTAGATTATAAATGAGAGGTTTTATCCCCTGCTTTACAAATGAGAAAGCTGAAGTTTTCCAACCTTCAGTTGCGTAGTTAACTGTATTGGAACCAGGATTAGAATCTTTTCTATTCTAGGAATAGTCCAGGCTTTGCCTACCAAATCTGATCAAAAGCAGGATTGTGGGTTAACCTCAAAAAAGTGCATTGGTCTGGAGCTTTGCATTGGACTGCCTGCCTGCCTGCCTTCCTTCCTTCTTTCCTTCCTTCCTTCCTTCCTCCTTCCCTTCCTCCCTCACTCCCTTCCTCCTTCCCTCCCTCCTTCCTTCCTTCCTTCCTTCCTTCCTTCACTTCTTCCTTCCCTCTCTTCCTCTCTCCCTCCCTCCCTCCCTCCTTTTCTTACTTCGTTGTTTTCAAAATGTGCTAGCATCTCTTTGCCCCTTTCCAGGAATTGTACCACCATTTCCCTTTGAAAATTCAACCCTCTTGAACTGTCAGTCCACATACTCCAGGTCTGAATGACCCACAAGTCACTAGTTCTGGAGCTTACAATATGACCAGTACTTGACCATCCATGAATTCTTCCCAACCTGGCCACAGGGATTGGCTCAGAGAATGGAAAGGGCCAATCAGAATGGATATCAAGATTTTGCTGGGTCCATGGAGAAATATCCACTCTCTTTCCAGCAGTGACACTGGCTAGTAGACTATATGGTGTGAGTATCTTATCACCTATTAGAAAAGCCTTCTTGAAAACAAATCAATAAAGCAGAGATGGATGGAAATAGACTGATGACATGCCATGAATCTAGTGTCCCCTGAATTTAGATTTGCCACTGAACTTTACAGTCACAGGAGCCAATACATTCCTGCCTCAATCTCTGTTCAAGCTTCTACCACTTGAAATTCAGCAAGTCCTGCTTGACACAGCTCTGAAGAAACATGTCTGCCTTCCACAACCAAGGAATAGCCTGAGAAGTGAAGAAACAGAAGCAGAGCTAATCCAATCTTGGATGCTTTGTCCCAGCTTCAGACGGCCCTATGAATAAGGTCCTGCACGGTCTCTGTATGAACCCACAAAGTGCAGGCCTCACGTGACTCCATGGTCTTTAATGTACGACACCCCAACTCCACACACGTTGTTATCAGACTCACTTACCAGCCACCGCTTCAATTCAAAATCCAACTGCAATCACAGTTCAGAGGAAAAACCTTAGGTTGGGAATTCCTTTGTTCACCTTTCTTTTCTTTCTGGCCTTATTTAAAGTAAAATTACACAAGTGGCATTGAGAATCAATGTTTTTACATCTGTAAGTTCTATATGAACTTCTAATCACTCTTCTACCTTCTAATAAGCTGAATAACAAGAACTGATATGTAGACAAGAGGAAAAAAAGCTGAAATCAAACCAAGAAACTTACCCCAAGGTAATATTGATGTGAAGGACACAATACACCATATTTTTTAGTTTTTCCCTGTCCCCCTGAGAAAAGTCATCAAATATTTACTCCAAATGTAATATCTCAAAGCCAGAAGGGCAAGTTTCAAGCTTAAAAACAGAGAGGTTTGATGAGAATGGTACCGCAGGAGTTTTCAGAGCTCAGAATAGTTTCTGACTGTGGAAGGGAAGCTGTGGGAGAAGAGAGGGAGAGGGGATGGGTTTATCAGATGACTCCCCACTGAAGAGGTAGGGGAACAGGTGCTGGCCAGTGTATAAGCACAGGTCTTTAAGCCTTTGTGCCTTCTTAAAAACAGGTGCTAAAGGCCTAGAGATGACTGCCCCCTTAACTCTAATGAATGCTCAAAATAGCTGAGCACATTTATAAACTTGACACGCAAACTTACCTGATGAATTCCACAGAATAGTATAGAACAGGGGAGCTTCCTTCACTCTCTCCAGGTTTCCAAGAAAGAGCCACCTCAGAATCAGAAACCACAAGGACATGTGGCTGCTGGGGAGCTGCTGGGGGCAGGCAGGAATCTAGGCAGGACAACAAACTCAGCTGCTGCAAAGGCTGAATACATAAAACACATGTGCACTTCCCACAACCAAAGCATTTCTGTTCAGAACAGCCTCAAATCCCAAACCAAACAAACCCTATCACAGCTGCATTCGCCACAAAAGGTTTCAGCCAATAAGAGCTTGTCTCCCTTCTGTGGGCACCTGGGGCTGGAAATCCAACTAAATTAGCCTCCATTGACCATGAGGTATATGGGTATGTGCCCCTTAGAACCTTTCACGACACTCTCACCTCCTAGCAACCTGACATCTTGGTTTGCATTTTGGAATTGATATTTATTTCCAAGGAAAACTAAATGTTTAACATTTCTGCCACTTACTTTCCAATTCTTTGGTGTGTCTTTTCCCTCACAATGATCAGAATTCATGGCAGTGTATCACAGATGGGAAATGCCTTTGTGTGTAAAGTGATCCTGTCACCCCAGTTACCACTGCTATTATCTTCACGCCCCAACTTCCATACCTCCCAGCTTTTCTTCCAGCTATTGCTTGGGCCTGGGAGACTTTCTCCACCTTCCTAAGTGTTTTTTTGTAATTTGGCTTGGAGATCCATTGAGTTTTCTTGCTTACTATTTCCTTCTCCCTACACAAAGCGCACCTTGTAAGCAGTGACTCCCCACTTTGTATCCCAGTGTTCACCTTGGTACCACTTTAAAGAGTATTTGTTGGATTCCCTTTCCTTGTAAATAAATCTCTCTCTCACTCCCTTCCTAGCTTTCTTAATTTCTACTCATCCATCAGATCTCCCCTTTATTGTCCTCAAGAACTCCTCAAGGAGTTCTTGTACCTCTATGTTGTATGTTCCTGCAGCCTCTGGGTAGCACTTCTTACAATTTGTGACTGGCAACACACTAATGAGAAAATGTCTTCATTCACCCCTCTAAGTTCTAAGAGGGCAGGGGCTGTGCTTGCTTCAATCACCCCTGCATTCCTGGCTCCTAGCACCAGGCCTGGCGCATGCCAGGTTCCTGTTGCTATTTGCTGAATGAGTGAATAGCAGCCTGTCACTTTCCTATTATTAATGAACTTGAGCCTGTTTTACCTTGGGACAAAGTGGTAACATGCCGAGGAGAGCTAAGTCGCCCTTTGCCAGTCTGACTGTAAGCTGCGATGCTCACTCGATACTCAGTGCCTGGCTTCAAATCTCCAATCACTTCCTCCTGTCAATAACCAGACAAGAAAAGTGCAGACGTTCAGAAAATCTGTTTAGATAAATTGGACAGTTCCCAAAAGGTTTGCATTTTGAGACCCCTGGGAAATTACTTGGGACAAGGATTGTTTTGCTTCATCTAGGATTGGTACAGTTTAAAAATGTATGAAAAGGAAAACATCATGACATATTTCCCAAGACTGGAGTACCCTTTATTGGAATCTACACCCTGCCCTAGAACTGGGGCTCACACTCCCAAATGCCACTCTGAGCATCCTAATTCTTTCACCAGAGTCTCAGGCTGCTGGGATATAGGAAGTGATCTCTCAGGGCTGGAGCCCTGCACTCTTTCTATGTATAGACTGCAATGTTCAGAGACCAGCCACACAGCAAGCTGATTATTTATACCCAGAAAGTAGGGACTTGATTTTGCTTCTCCAATTTTAAATAGCATTGGAATCACCAGGAAGGCTTCCTTAAAACAGGTTGCTGGACTTGATTCCCACAGTGTCTGATTCAGTAGGTCTGGGAAAGGATGTGAATAATTTGGGTTTCTAAAAGTTCTTAGGTGATGCTAATGCAGCTGCTCCCTCTCCCTCCCCCAGAACCACTAGGATTGATGATGGATGATGTGTAAACTTCCCCTGAACAGAAGGCCAGAGGAAGAGGATTTGCTTCACCTTGGGCTATGGCAAAAGTGGTGTTTCCCTGAGGCTACAATGCTAAATGGTAAGCGGAAGCTGGCCTATCAGTGAGAAGCAGCTCCATACTGCAGTGGAACAAGCATATAGGCACCAGCTTGGAGTCAACCAGTCTTGGGCTTGAATCCTGATTCTACTACTCATTACTAGTTATGGTTTTCATATCAAATCCCCTGAGCCCAGCTTCTTCCTCAGTAAAATAAGCTTGTCATATAACTATCTTGTATGATTATACCATTTGAGATAAAGTGTGTATATACAGCAGCTGTCATGGAGGATGTGCTCCAGAAATTGGTTATAATGATTCTTGTACTGTGGATGTGTGGAGCCTCTTCTTTGCTCACCTAGGTTTCCTCCCAACTCCAAGACACAAGTCCTCTCCTCAGTACCTTCCCTGACCACCTAGACCTGGTGATCACACCCTGCTAAATGTACCACTGATTTAACACTTTAAACATAGGAGTTGAACTTTCCTAATCCCCAAATCCAAAATCCACGACGTACTGAACACTGACATGACACCATGAGTAGAAAATTGCACATCTGACTTCATGTGACAAGTCACAGTCAAAACACAGGTGTACTGAAAATATTACATAAGATTACCTTCAAGCTATGTGTATTGGGTGTATAGGAAACAAATGAATTTCAAGCTTAGACTTGGGTTCTATCCCCAAGATATCTCATTGCATACATGCAAATATTCCAAAATCAATACAAAATCTGAAACACTCTGATCTCAAGCATTTTGGAGAAGGGTCACTCGACCTATATTACAAATTGTTGCTTTTCTCCTATGAGATCATAAACCACTTGACAGCAGGGATTATATCTTATATTTCTTCACAATATCCTCTGCAGCTGATTAAGCATTCCTTGTTGCTCAAGAGAAATAAGGAGATTCAAAGACATTTTGAACATATTAAAAATCATTATTAAAACTTAATGAAGTACTCTTAAATCCTGACTACGTATTAGAATCATTTGGAGAGATTTAAAAAAAAAAAAAAAGCAGTGATACCTGGGATTCACTCCAGATCATTTAAATCAGAGTCACTGAGGACAGCGCCCAGTTGTCTGCTTAAAACTCCACAGGTGATTCTAGTATACATCCAGGTTTGTAAACCACTGGTTAAGGGTATGGTTCCCCTCCTGTGCTCTGGACCCCTACCTGTTCCCCCTCCTGTCTTTGCCATGGATCTCTAGCCTCTCCCATATCTACTCTGTCCTTCTGTCTCAGTCTCACCCACCTGAAAAGCAGTCCTTCTCCTATCACACATGCACCCCCCAGCTCCTCTCCTCAAAGACACCTTTTGAAGAAGTTGTCACCACTTCCTCACCTCCCACTTACTCCTCAACTTATTCCCATCTGGCCTCTTTTCTACAAGCCAACTGAAATGTTCTTGCCAAAGTCCCCTCAACTTTGTAGTAAATCCGGTGGGTATGTCTCAGTCTTTCAATACTGTGCACACTCTTGATTCTGAAATGTCTTGGAAACTGTGGCTGTGCTCCTCTTTCATCTTCAATTTCTCTTATTGCTGCTTTCCAAAATCCTCTACCCTATTTCCCTTCTCTGCCACCCCTAAGCTTTGTTTTTTCTTGGGAGTACACCCCTTATCATCTTCTCTTTCTCTCTGCATACTCTTGCAGGCAAACTCTCCTCCTACACTCTTAGTTTCTAGCACTACATTTGTCATAACATCTCCAATATCTACACCACCAGCTCTGGCCTCCCTCTTCACCTCCACACACGCATTTGTGACTTCCTCTTCAACAACTCTACCCAACATTACCAAGCAACTCAAGTTCAACATCACCAACTAATCATTCCTCCCCCTGCTAGCAAAGTAAAATAAAATACTGCTTCATCTATTGTATTCTCTCTCTCATTATTCCAGCCAGAAATTCTTGATATTTTCCTCTATGTGTTCACCTTCTTACCTCATCACCATCCAATCAGTTATCAATAGAGCTAGTGCCACCTTTTTCATTTCACTTGAGCCTGTCTGTGCAATTTCATCTTATAGCCACTTAAATTCAAATCCTTATAATTAAGACAATGGGCTCTGATTCTGCCTGCCCCCAGTACTGTCTGTACCGCCAATATAGACTCCACACTGCTATGCTAAAGTTATATTCCTAAATCTCAAATCTGATCCAACCACTTTCTAGTTTAAGTCCCCCTTAACATATCTGTGTCCCTCTGTCATCCTTTTAGCATTATCCCACACTACCTCCCCTCTTTGCATTCTACATTCCTGTCATACCTAAGAACTTGGCAGGGCTCAAATTTATACTATTTATTTTCTTGCCTCTGGGCCTTTGAACCTGCTGCTCTCTTTACATGAAATGTCCTTCTCTCTACTCTTGCCTGGCTCACCCTGCTCATCCTTTATGACTCAGTTCAGCTGAGACATTACCTCATTTCTCTACCCGGCCCCCAGTCTGGTTAGGTGCCCCTCATCTATCTTGGTGTCCTTGGTGGGCCTCATTGTTACACTACTCACCTTATATTGTAATTGTCTGTTTATTTGTCACCTTCTCTCAACCTGCTTGATGGCAGGAAGCAAGTTCTTATTCCTTTGACATCTCAAAGCCTAGGCATAGTATTATCACTCACATGCAAATGTTTGTGCAATGCTTTTGATGAATGAATAAATGGACTGAAGTGAAGTGAAAGAAAGAAAGCAAGCAAGAGCCAAGATGCCCCATATAAGTGGATTACCTCCTCAAGAAGTGAGCTTCAACTGCTGAGCAGCAGCATCGGTTTCTGCTATGGTTTGAATGTGTCCCCCCAAGTTCATATATTGGAAGCGAAATCCCCAGTGCAACAGTGTTGGGAGATGGGGCTTAATAAGGGATGGTTAGATCATGAGAGATTAGTACTGTTATTATGGAATTGGGCTGGTTATTATGAGAGGTTAGTTATTGAGGGAGCAGGTTTGTTATAAAATTAGTCCGGCCCCTCTTGCCCTCTTGCTCCTTCATGCTCTCTTGCCCTTCCATCTTCTACCATGGGATGATACAGCATGAGGCCCTCACCAGATGCTGAGTAGCTGTCAGTGCCATGCCCCTGGACTTTCGGCCTTCAGGACTATGAGCCAGGCAAGTTTCATTTCTTTATAAACTACCCATTGTGTGATGTTCTGTCATGGCAGCACAAAACAGACAAAGAAAGTACCTCTGTCCAAGCCCAGGAATCAATGACTCCACAGATGTTGCTGCCACCTGCTCCCTTCTTCCATTCCCACTTTGACTTTAGGTCCCACTGACTCTCCTTACCTGAGCCAGAATCATAGAGGATGCCTGTCTCCTATCTGCCCCTCCCTGATTTATCACAGAAAGTGGGTATTTTTCAGAATTTATAGCAGGGGTAGCACTGGATTTGGGGGCTGGAAAAGTCTTCCTTGTGTGGATCTGTCCTGAGGATTGCAGGAAAGTTAGTATCCCTGACGCTTGTCCACTAAAGGTCCACATGTGTTTCTATGAGCCTCCATGGAGACCAAGGTATCTTGCAGTCAGGAAGCATTGCTAATCCATCTCTTCATTTTATTTTAATCATTAATTTTTTTTTTTGGTGGGACTGGGATTTGAACTCAGGGTTTCATGCTTGCAAAGCAGGCGTTCTACCACTTGAACCACACCTCCAGTCCCCATCTCTTCATTTTATAATCAGAGATTCAGAGGATCTCAGTGACCTTGCCCAAGGTCACCCCTGCTCGGGTGACAGAGTGGGACATGGGACTAGATGAATGTCTTCTGATTCCTAGCTAAGTTTTCTCTCTTTAACCCTGGATAAGACCCCAAAAGAACCATTGTTCTGGGTCAACTAGACCAGTAGGTTCCAAAGCAGAGTGATGATAACTCCAACCTACCTCTCCCGTTTGTAAGCAACCTAATCTACCGAAATGTCAGAAGAACTTTCTATTTCTGCTTTATCTCCTCCTTTAAAATTCTGTGGGATTTTATAATGTACATAATATATTAGCAAGCAGCACATGTATAATTTATAAATACATAAATATACATACCAGTTGGTTTATGTTCAATTTTTTTTAACTGATAGTATGAATGATCAAAAAGTATGGAAACCTCCAGTCTAAACATCCTTTTCTATTTCTATCTCTACCTTTCTATCTCTGCCTTATTTTAATATTTTATTTTCTAGGACAAAACCTGCAGGTTGTCCTTCTAAGACAAAAAGTAAGGTGCATATGAAATGCTAGCCAAATCCAAAGCCTCTAGAAGAAAGATTACCAAACGATGCCATCAGAATTCCACTTTGTCAGCGAGGTTATTTTGGTCAGTTTATCATTTATTCTTTGAGGTTTTATTATTTTTAATTTATCATTTAAATCAATTAATCATTTGTCAGTCCAACCCGTTTAGGATTCAGTGTGGAAAATCAAGTAAACCATTTTTGGATGATGGATTCAGTATTACTGAAAAGACAATCCCGGGTTGTTAGAGGGAACAAGGGAAGGAGAGATTAAAAAGATGGGGGAGTGGGAGAGGACTTCTCCCAGAGTGCTGCTCACTAGTTTAAATATTTTCTCTCTTTTTCAATCAGTTTCACCTACATCTGAAACAGACTTAAGTTACTTCAACCTTTAAAGATGTTTCTCTTAACCTTACTCTGCCATGTGAGATCAAGCAGCATGCACAAGGAGAAAAGTATTTACTTTCCAAATGACTAAAGATCCACTGCTTATACAGAACTAAGCTCTCTGCACTGGGCCTTGCTCAGGATGAAGAAGATGTGGGAAAACCAACATTTTAGTGGAAGAGAACCCATCCACACATACACACACACCCTCATCTGGGTCAGAGCAGGGGGTTAAACTTCCCTAAGACACACTTACAAAAATTACCTGATGATCAGCTGGGCCCTGGAGAGGAAAAACAAAAATAAACAACAAAATACCAGAAGAGACATGAAGAATAAAAGAAAACCTGAAGGACTAAAATAAACCTGTGTACTTTACCTGCCCTTTTCTGTAACTAAAACCGAATACAAACACACATCTTTGCTATGTGATTTTTTTTCATTTTTGCAGAAATGGGTATCGAACTCAGGGCCTTGTGCTTGCTAAACAAGCACTCTACCACCTGAGCCATTGCAATATGAATTTTATCAGCCACTTAATCAGTTCTCATTCTATGCCAGGTGTCATGCCGACGGCTCTCCAGCCATTACCTCATTCAACTCACAACATCTATCTGCTGTAGGGTGATATGATACAGTACACAGGTTTCCAAACTTTCTCAACTCATGGCACACTTAGTTTCTCAGAAACATTTTTATAGCATCTCTAGGTCAAAAGAACTGCCTAATAGTTCCATTTACTTATACTCTTGTGAGTATAAGTAAATGGTATAGTATAAATGGTTCCATTGAGTACTTATACTCAACTTGCTGGTAGTATTTCACACAGATGCTGTTGTTTCCCATGGTGCCCCTTGGGAGCTTGCTACAAAAACCCGAGGTACCCTGACACACAGTTCAGGAACCACGGACACACTAACTACGGCATAGATATTATCAGAATCCCTAGTTTATTGATGGGTGACTGAGACCCAGAAAGATTGCCCAGCTGGATTGTTGTAAGGCAGAAATCTGAACTCATGTGGTCTGAACCCAAGCTATGTTAGCCCCGCCCCTTCCTGACACACTGCAGGTATGTTTGGTCATTACTTCCTCTCTCCAGTCTGCATGTTCTGCAACTCTCCCCACCCCACACAAACACACATGCACACAGACACCCTCATTTCTGGGGTTCAAACCATTCCCTAACATTGGAGTGGCTGGTCATTGAATCTGGCTTTCTAAAAATTCTGCTTCATTTTCTAGCCCCAAGTTTTACCTCTTGACTACTGTTTCCTGGCACTCATCTCTTCTACTTCAAACACTATCCACCCATTAAATGCCATGTTAATGACATCTGGTCTCATGTTATTCTCTAATTATTTTATCAGTGTGAATGTGGTTTTCCCTACAAGCCTGAATGCTGCCCCCAAACAAGGGCTGTCTGTTATCTTGTGCTGGCCACATAGAAGCCATAACTGCAGTTTGTTGAAATCAGCAAGATGATCAAGTGCTAGGATCTGACAGCATACTGTAATGTCTGGGTATAAATAACAGAGTATTTAACATAAAAGTCATCACAAAAGATAACTAATATCTAAATGGCTTTTTACACTTATGAGAGGCTTTTACACATATGATTATATTTGGTTCTTATAATAATTTAATTAATGTACCCTTTCCATGAAACAAAACTGGAGCTTAGACAAGTCATTCCAACCTGCAAGTGGAAGGAGCAGGTGTGGAAGCCCTCTGTTTTACATCTGCCCTGCAGTGACCTTCACAGGCTGACAGTTTCAGAAGCTCTGTCCAGACTCCAAGGCACCACCAGCATTGTGCCCTCAGTACCTGGTTGTGTTCCAGATAATACTCACAACAGCCATGTACTGTAGAATGATAAAGGACAGGAGGCTGAGCTGGTTGAGGACACTATTAAGGACAATGCTACCCCTTGCTTGGTGAGGTCAATGGACTTGTAGAAAGTTCCAGGGCTGCTGCAGGGAGAGAGAACCTGAATGAGGTCAACCCAATCTCTCCTCTAAGGATAGAGTAAGCCACAGAGCAGGGGCTGAGGGCTTTTAATGCTATTGAGGGGTGCTTAAGATTAAAAGCATGCCATGAAAATACAAATGTGATGAAAACGTGCAGCTATCCTTTTCTGGTCACAAGACCTTTGTTAAAACTAGCTAGGGGACAGAAGTTCAGAAGTTCAGAGGAAACCCTGGCTTTCCTGCTGATGCTGCTTCTTACAGATGTATGATTGGGGGAAGTTACTTCACCTGTCTGAGCCTTGGTGCCCCTGTCAGTAAAATGAGGTCATAAGAGCACTGTGAAGATTAAATGGATGGGAGGCATGAGGGACAGCACATGGCGGGCAACAGATATTTAATAAGCAATAGCTATCATCGACCGTGACAAATAAGTTCCAGACTGCTGTCCCTACCTGGCACTTATTAAATAGGAGTGACCAGCAATGCCACCTCCATTATGATAGTGTTATGGGCACTGGGCCACCTCCTAGAGCCATTCAAAGGCTCCACCCTGGAGATTGTAGTAGCAGAATGGGGAAAGAGGAAAGAAAAAAAAAAAAAAAAGGAACCAGAAGATGCCTAAGGCAAAAAGTGGACCCAGAAAAACCTTGACAGGAAACAGAAAAGAAACAGTGAGGGAGGTGACAATCAGTGCTGAGCTTGGAAAGGAAAATAAACAACCTGGACCGTTTGAACATACAGTTCAAATTACATCACTTTTTTCCTGCATTGTGTCTCCAGGCAATTGAGAAGACACAAATGTGTGACATTTATTTATAAAACTTTATTGGAATTTTTTTAAAAATCAGAATTGAACTTCATGAAGAAAAGAAAGGGAAAAAATAGTCGCAAAGTGGCTGCTTCCACTCATGACAAGATGGAGCTGAGTTCAGGATGAAAGCACTAGCACCAGGACTCTTTCATCAGACACCTGTCTTCAAGAGAGATAGACAGCACGTCACAGGCAGTGTGAGTGGAAAACACTGGGAATTCCAGAAGACAAGCAAACATTAGCTATTATTGCATGTATGGTAGCACACACACCAACTTAGAAATCTGTCTGGATCCCCCTGAAGTGTCAAGTGCCCAGGGGGCCAGCAGGGAGGTACTCACAGTGACTGGGGTATCCTGGCTGAGAGGCACAGTATGTGACTGCTCCCGTGGGAATTTGTCTGCTTGGACCTCAGAGTAAAAGACCTTGAAAAAATGCAGACACCCTGGTGAGAATATAGCCAGTACTTCCCTATGATAAAGGTTTGCATCCCACTCACCAAGGCCGTGGGTTCTAGGGTTCATCACCTGGTCCCATAGGTACCAGGTCCATGGAACAAGCTCAAAAGCATACAGATGCCAGAAGGAAGACATATCAGCGAAGCAGGATGGAGAGGGCTGTCTCCAGCTCCTCTCATTTTCCTCCAAGCCATGATCTTCTCAGGTAATTTTCCATTTTCCATGTTTTGCATGGCATGAGTCCAGAAATACATTTCTCTAATTTAAGAAGGCCACAGGTAAAGGCCAAGATCAATGTTCAATCGCTACTGTCTCTCGATGAACCAGAGACAGTAGGCAGTGGTGTGACCAGGACGTTAGGGGGAATTTTGTCCCTTCTCAAATGGGCAGCTGAGCTCCAGTGGTGAGCTCTCCTGATGTAGCAGAGATTTCAGGACTCCAGATGTTTATCTAAAAATGTTCTGACTTCTAAAGTTGATTCCTTTCTATAAGCACGGTTCAAAGAAAACATTTTGGTTACTGCAATCAGCCCAATTCGTAGCCTCTGGCGGTCAGAATGTACTCTGTTCCTCCTCCACCTATCTCTCCCTTTAACTAGAGTCTTACATTATATAGTGTTTGTTGACAACATTCCACAGGGACTCCCTGGAATTCCCATGTTTTTGCATTCCTTACAGTTCCAACAAAGCAGAATGAGCGGTTATATAAATACGGAAGGACTGATACTAAGTCCTTAACAGTTTAACATCCAAAAATCAAAATCTGAAACTTTTGAGCCCTAATACTGCACCAAAAAAGTAAAAATCTGCATCCACTTTCACTTGATGGGTTGCAGTCAAAACACAGGTGCACTAAAAATATTGTTCACTGTTAGGGTAGGTTTTTAAGATGGATTGAAACAAATGGATTGTGTGTTTAAACTTGGGTCCCATTCCTAATACATCACGTTAATATGCATATATTCCAAAATCTGAAAAAATTTACAAATCCCCAACATTTCTGATCTCAAGCATTTTGGATAAGGGATATGCAACCCATATAGGAGAGGCTAGAATAGGAAGGATGGACAGTCACACCAACACATACACTGTAGTGATCCCACGCCCGTGTACTCACTGTGTACCCAATGATGGGACTCCCAGGATGCATGGGCATTTTCCACTGGATACTGAAAGCTGTACAGTTCAGTGCACCCAGCTTGATGTCAAGAGGAGGCCCCACCTTGCCTGCCCCAAACAGAAGAGATTGTGTTAGAAGCTTCATGTGCCCCACCTAAATCTTATCAGGATTTAGAGTGTGTACTCACAGATGGAGAGTGCAATTAAAGACAATGCAGTCTCCCTCAAATACACCACTCCTGTCTCAGCTGACCTTGTCCAAACTTGACTATCACCTCCCAACCTACCCTTAGTAGAGAAATCAGCCCACTATTGTCCTCAGTCCATTCAGTCACAATAGTTGGGGACCAGGAAGTGAGACTGAAGATAGCATAGACCAAACACTTGTGATTGACTCCAGGAGTTTGGAATGGATTAAAGCAAGGTGATGAATTCTTATTTACTCATGACATACATGTAATTTACATACATCTACTTACATATAGTTAGTACAGTCTTATTATGGAAAATTTTGAAACACAATTAAGTATTGAGTGAAATTTTAAATTTTCAAAGGTTTTGTTATCTACTTATCTTAAGCAATTTTATGGCTATAAATAAGGTACTTTTAATTATAATTATAAAAACAGATGCAAATTGACAAAATTTAGAAAATACAAAAAAATATATACAATTCCATCATTCAGAGATGAGTCCTCTCAGCATTTTGGTATATCTTCTTCTAGTCACATATGATTAAAACAAAAAAAGTTATTTTATTCTGTGTATATGTATTTGTGTGTGTTGTGTGTTGTATTTGTATAAAATTTTCATTCTTTTTTATTGTTGTAATATAGCATTTATGTGTATATAAGTATATGTTCATAATTTTAAGTCTTATTTCACTTAGTTTACTTTCATTACAATCATTATTTTTAATAATCACAAATGCTTTCCTACACTGCATGTGCTGTAATAAACAGTTTTGTCATTCCATATTGTGAGGCAATTTACTTCCCATATTTTGTAATTTTAAATAATGTTCCATGAGGCAGGAGCCATGTCTATCCTGGTCAGCCTACAGAGACTAGTAGACAATAAAGGCTCAATGGACACTCCTCAAGTAAATGACTGTTCTGCAATTTGATTTTCCACCTACGAGTATATCCTGATGTGCTCTCCTTTAACTGTTGCATATAATTCTACAGCATATCAATTAAGATTCCTTGCAACTTGCAGAGGTCTAATTTATCTGTTTATTAGACTGAGGCCAATTTGTTTCTACTGGGGCCATTCACCAATGTTATTTTTTTTCTACTGAAATGTTTTTATTACTTGAATTTATTTTAGTGAGTCGGAAACACCAAGGAAATTACTCAATGTACTATATTGCCTCGACTTATTATTACATACATTTTTGGAAAATTTCCTGAAGTCTCTCAGATTTTTCTTCTTATTCTTTACTGAGTAAGTAACTAATTAACTGTCTTACCAATGTTTTCAATAACAGAACCTAAGGTCTTTCTGGTAGAACAACTAATAGGGGTATGATTCCAGGAGTCAGCTTCGTCTTGCCCCCTAGACCCCTACAACTGTACCCACTCAGGAATTTAATCTTCAATGATCTCTTTGCCTTTGTGATAAACCAAGATTTAAAGTCTCATCTGGTTGGCCAAACTGAAGTCACGTGACTTGCTCTGGGCTCAGTAATGGGCAGGTAAAGAAGGATCAGTCCTTTCTGGCTTCTAAACCAGGAAATGAAAGGATGAGAGATGTCCTGGGAATTATTCTTACACCAAGCTTATCTACCAAAAAAAAAAAAAAGAAGGCATCAAAAGGAGTTTAGGATCACAGGAAAACAGTGGGAGGTCATATAGCCCAAAACTCTACTCTACAGGATACACAGCATGCAAGCACATTGACCTTTACTCTGGTGATTGACATTGAGGTTGTCTCCAAAATTTCACTGTACAAAAAAAAATTCTGAAAAGAACATCTCTGTATGTGCCTTCTTGTGCACATGAGCAAATACTAGTAGGATGGATATCTATGAAAACTGTGAGGCATATGCATTTTAATTTTTATTAACTACTGACATTGCTCTCCCAAAAAGATTCAATGGATGAATCTTTACGTTTAATTTGGGTAAATTTTTAAAGCAGAATTCCTGTATCAAAGACAATTTTTCAACCTCACCATTATTGATATTTTGAGTTTGATGGGGGTGGAGTTCCTACTGCACTGTAGGATATTAAGCAACATCTCTGGTCTCTACCCACTAGCATAACAGCAGCACACCCACCCCACCCAGTTGTCAAAACCGAGAATATCCTGACATTGCCAAATGTCCTCAGGAGACAAAATCAATGCCCCACATACCTGCTAAGAACTACTGACTTAAGAGAATGAATATTTTCAAGATTTTAATAAATATAATCAAACATACATCTGGAAAATTAGTCAATTTATAAGCTTATAACAGTGAAAGAGAATGCCCCAAATAAGTAACACAGGCTTACCAGGTCTGACTGTTACCACTTAAAAATTTCTGCTCTGTAGAACACACTGTCAAGAGAATAAAAAGACAAGCCACAAACTGGGAAAGAACATGCAAAAGAAATATCTGATAGATGGGTGCAGTGGCTCACACCTGGAATCTTAGATACTCAGGAGGCAGAGATGAAGAGCCTCGAGATTCAAAGTCAGTCTGGGGAAAAAGTTAAGGAGACCTCATCTCAACCAGTAAAACTGAGTGTGGTGGCATGTGCCTGTTATCCCAGTGGCTCAGAAGGAGTAAATAGGAGAATTGTGGTCCAGGTTGGCCCAGACAAAAATGAAAAACCCTATTTAAAAAAGCACTAAAGCAAAAAGGTCTGGGAGCATGGCTCAAGAGCCCTTATTTTCCCACCTGCCTAGCAAGTGGGAAGCCCTGAGTTCAAACTCCATTGTGCCTTTAAAAAAAAAAGGATATGTACAAATGTACCAAGGAGGAGGATCAGAAGAAAATAGACTAGGAGACTAGTCCTGAGAAAGTAGCAGAGAGATAAAACCTGAGAAATCTGAACATGAGGAAGGTCATGTAGCACTAGGCTAAAGTAGCCAATAAAATTAAATACAACCATATATGGATTAGACCTTGCTTTTTGCTTTTGTAACCTGCTTGCAAGGGTATATAAGGTGAGACCCTCTTGTTTTCGGGGCTCAGCCTTTGGACATGAGTCTGCTGAGTCTGTGCTGGCACAATAAAACGTTGCTTCCTGCTAATTTGCCTCAAGAGTCCAGTATTTCAGCTAGCAAACTTCCCGCAACACAAATGCTATAGACTGAATATTTGTAGTCCACCCGGACCCCCTCGATTCATATGTTGAACCTAATCCCCAGTGTGATAGCATTTGGGAGGTTATCAAGTTATGTAGTCCTTGGGAACAGGATTAGTGCCCTTATAAAAAGAGACTCCAACTCTCCCTCCCCTTCTGTTATGGGACGACAGAGAGAGAACACCAGGAAGATGGTCTTTAACAGTCACTGACTCTGTGAATGGATAAAGAAACTGTGGTACGTCCAGACAATTGAATGTTATTCAGTACTAAAAAGAAGTGACTATTAAATCACAAAAAGACATGGAAGAAACTAAAATGTATATTATTAAATGAAAGAAATCAATCTGAAAAGGCCACATACTATATGATTCCAATTATGTGACTGTCTGGAAAAAACAAAACTGTGGAGACTGGAAAGATCAGTAACTGCCAGGGATTAGGGACAGAGAGAGGGAGGGAGGGGTGAAAAGGTAAAGTTTAGAGGAAATTTAAGGCAATGAACCTATCCTATTCTATATGCCACTGCTTTTCATTGCAGTGACAAACACCTGAGCAATACAATTCAAAAGTAGGAAAGATTTATTCTATCTAGTTTCTGCTGAAACTTCCCTTCAATGATGGAGTATCACAGTTCACTTCAAAGCTATCAGGAGAGGAGAGGAGAGGGAAGAGGAGAGGAGAGAGACTCAGGGGAGGGGAGGGGAGAAGAGAGAAGAGGAGAGGAGAATGCCTGCTTTTTGCTTTCTTTTTCCACCCAGGCCCCAGCCTATGGGATGATCCTGCCCATTTGGGGCAGGTCTTCCCCCACTTAGTTAATCCTCTTTGAAAACACCCTCATGGACACACCAGAGGTGTGCTTTACTAATCTCCTAGGTACTTCTCAACCCAATCAAGTTGATAATCAAGATGAGCTATCACAATATAATACCATAATGGTATATTCAAACCATTATGTATTTGTCCATGCCTATATAATGTACACACCAAGAACAAACCCTAAAGTAAACTATGGACTTTGGATGACAGTTGATACTTGAATGTAGGCTGATCAGTTGTAACAAAAGTACTACTCTGGAGGGAGATTCTTGTCACAGAGGAATCTGTTCTTCTGTAGAGGTAGAGGTTATATGTGAAATATTTGTGCCTTCTCAATTTTGCTAATCTGAAACTGCTCTAAAAACCTTGACCTCGCCCCCCCCCC